GCATCTAAAAATACCAAAGCCATTTGTTTTTCAGGGTGTGCCTCGTAATATTCCAAAGTGTCCAGAATTACCCTCATATTATCCCTAATTTGTCTCCTTGGCAGGAATCCATTCTGGTCAGGATGAATAAAGTTATTTAGGTATCTTTTGAGCCTTTCTGCCAGGATGGAAGCAAAGATTTTGTAATCTGCATTCAGTAAAGAAATAGGTCTATAGTTCTTAATTTGTGATGGATCGGCCCCTTCTTTTGGAATAAGTGTGATATAAGCTTCTGACCATGTTTTGGGTATTTTCTTATTTAACATGGCTTCATTCATAACTTCTAACAGTGGAGTGCTCAACGATTCTTGTAATGTTTTATAAAATTCTGCTGGGAGGCTGTCTGGTCCTGGTCCTTTTCCATTATTCTGCCTATTAAATGCTTCCATCATTCGGGGCATAGATAGCAATCAGGAGTGTTTTCATATTATTGTCCATTATTTCCACCATTAGTAATCTTCCATCATCATCGGTATAGATCAATTTTGCTGGGATAATATCTTTAATGTATAACACCACTCCTCTTTTCTTGCATTGTGTCAAAGAAGTAAATATTTTCCCTAATTTTGGCTGTATCAACAGTTGTTCATGTTGCTTTTTAATATGTACTTCTTGTAGGCATATTATATCAATTTTTAATTTCTCTAATTTATGGAAAGTTTTCCTTCTTTTAACAGCTAAGTCCATTAAGTCCAAAATACCATCCCAGGAGGAAATCATTGAGAAAATATTGGAATGTGCTGAAATGAGTGGATTGACATTTGAAATCAGAGAACAAGACGATAAACAATTTTATAAAATTGGGGATCTATTCTATCAATGGTTAGACAATAAAATATGGTAATGAAATATGTAGATTTTTAGAAAATAATAAATATATAAAGATGTATTTTTTTCTTATTATATCTTTAGAAAATAATAAATATATAAAGATGTATTTTTTTCTTATATCTACAAAATGATTGTAGGATAGATTTGCGATGATAATATGAACTGTCATAAAACAAATTAAGTAAAATATGGATTATTTCATAAAACATGAATAAATAATAGTATAGTCAAATGATTAACGATATTAATGTATTTAATATTTGATTGAAAGTATGAGAATATATACAATGTAATTGTAACTGAAGACTACGAAATGGAAGCACAAAACAATTTGTAAACCAACACATTGTATGTATATATATGGAAGACGGCTTGATGTTTTTATGTTTTGTTTGTCTATGTCTTAAAAAACAATAAAATTAAAAAAAAACTTCTACAAAATCCCATTTAATTAACTCCTTATGATTTTTAATGATTTTTTTAAAACGGCCCTATAATTCATATGCCTCCCTTATTCGCGGTAAAAGCCTCTGAGCCGCTTACAAACGATACGAAAAGGAGAGGGGGAAAGCTGCATATGAACCTCGCGATGGATCTCCGAGGCTTGCCAGCAACAGCCCTCTCTTATTTTTTCTTCCTTTCTTATCTCTAGGTCTTCGCCGTGCCTCCGAGGATTGGTCGTTTCCAATCCTATCCCCGGCCCTCTCGAGCGGAGGGCCCATTGGGTGGCGAGAGGAACCACAGAGACGAGTCCTCTTCACGTGCGCAGAGCGCCGCGCGTGCGCAGTAGGGGACGGTTCGCCATGCGGGCTCACCCGGCCGGGCGGTAAGATGTAGAGGGCAGCGGGGTGAACCGATGCTGAAGCTGCAAGGGACGCTGCTGTGGGGCAAAGGTCAGTGTGGTGTCCTGTGGGGCGGGACGTATGGCGATGGGGATTCCTCGAGGGAACCTTTCACCTCCACCCGGATCTTTTTGGGGAGAAGGGCGCTTAGCCCTACTGGAGGTGGATGGATTTGAACTCGCCACCCTTCCCCTCTTGGGGTGGGGTGGGATAATAGGGTCAAACCTATGCACTCGTTGAAATTTGGATGCCTTCCCTGGCCTCGTTGGTTGACAGCCTTTGACCCATTGGGTTGGCTTGGGTTGGTGCTTGAAAGGGAGACCACCAGGAGATCCACATAGGCTGCCTAGAGGAGGAAGTTAAATTAGATGCCTCGGGATTCAGCCACACGTCTGGGTGGATGCTAAGAAACTTGCCCAGACGCAAGATGGTGAAGCGATCAAGATGGTGAAGTGATCAAGATGGTGAAGGGAGATCTTGCCTGTTATTTGATCTCCCTTGTCATCTGCACCTTTGTAACTGTCTGGTTTGGTTCTGCAACCCAACAAGACAGGCACAGACTTCAGAGAATAATTAGGACTGCGGAAAAAAACAATTACTACCAACCTGCCTTCCTTTGACGACCTGTATACTGCACTGCACGAGGGCTGTGAAAATATTTACAGACCCCTCACATCCTGGACATAAACTGTTTCAACTCCTTCCCTCAAAACAACACTATAGAGCCCTGCACACCAGAACAACTAGACACGTGGATATTTTTCCCCCAAACACCATCACTCTGTTAAACAAATAATTCCCTGAACACTGTCTAACTATTTACAAAGTCTACACTACTATTACTGTTAAACTTTTCATCGTTCCTATCACCCATTCCCTCCCACTTGTGACTGTATGACTGAAACTTTGTCACTTGTATCCTTACGATCTATATTCCTAGTATGATTTGGTTGCTTATTGTACCCTATGACTATTATTAAGTGTTGTACCTTATGATTCTTGACGCTTGATGAATGCATCTTTTCTTTTATGTATACTGAGAGTATTTGCACCAAGACAAATTCCTTGTGTGTCCTACCACACTTGGCCAATAAAGAAATTCTATTCTATTCTGTTCTATTCTATTCTATTCTATTCTATTCTTACAGGTAGTTTGCGACTTGCGACTAAAATTCCCCTTGCTTTGCAGTGCCATTGTTAAGTGAGTTTTGCCCCATTGTGCAACCTTTCTTGCCATAGTTGATAACTGAAACGCTGCAGTTGTTAAGTTAGTAACATGGTTGTGAAGTGAATCTGACTTCTACGTTGAATTTACCTGTCAAAAGTTTGCAAAAGGGGATTACATAACTCCGAGACACTGCATAAATCATATGCCATAAATACATGCCAGTTGCCAAGGGTCCAAATGTTGATCTTGTGACCATGGGGATACTGCAACGGTCATAAGTTTGAAAAACGGTCATAAGTCACTTTTTTCAATGTTGTAACTTCAAACAGTCACTAAAAGAATGATTGCAAGTCGAAGACTACTTGTATTTGTTTTCCATAATTCCCAATGAAATCCATTGCCCTTCTAATGAAGAAAAATATAAGGCCTTGTGTTTCCACACCCCCGCCACTGCTTAACAGTACTAGTAGATAAATGTAATAAAAATAAGTGGATGAACAAGCTTAACTTATTTATATTTTTAATTGGTATATTGTTATTTTAGATACAACCTGGTTAGTGAAAGCTGCAACAGCTACATTAATAGAGTATCCTAAACTTGGTTTGGATTTCTCTTGGGATTGGGGTTGCACATTGGATGAGATGTTTTATAATCTAGAAAAGCAGGTGTGAACATATCCATTAAAATATGTTTTATCTTAATGAAATCGGGGAGGGGAGTGATCCCCCATCCCCCTGAAGGTTGGGAAAAGGGTAATACAATGGATAAAGTGTTCATTTTTGATTTTCTGCCCTTACATATGAAGAACCTCTTTAAGTTTTGGAGTGCCAAACCCAGCTGGATATCTTGAGCCCGATAAATAAACATTTTTGCCAGATATGAAATGCTTTCTTTGGAGTTCAGAGGAGGCCATGTTACTCCTCCTCCATTGCTTGCTTTGTCAAGCTTATATACTTCCTCCCTTACCAAACTGACAACATGCAGATGGAATAAATGGGTTGATGGCACATCTGTAACATCCAGAAACAAAGGCTCTCAGGGTGATAGATGATAAAGGCCTTACAAAACCCAAAATAGTATTGTTATGTAAACCAGTGGTTCTCAACCTGTGGTCCGGGGTTCTCTGAGGGGGTCACGATGTCATCACAAGGGTGGGTGGGTTGCAAAGCCTTGAAGAAATGTTATGATTTAAATCTTGAGTTAAGTCTTGGTGGTTCGTGTCCACAGAAGGTATTTAAAGAGGGTCCATAGTGAATAAAAAGGTTGAGAACCACTGATGCAAACATTATTAAAACCCACACTGAAGCTAGTATAGTGGATAGATAAAAACATTGAGCAGAGATACTTATCGATGCTGTATCTTCTGAAATTATATAGAAGAGTAAGGAAGGAAGGGAAGTGGGAAGGAAAGGAGGCAAGAAGTGAAGTGAGAAAGAGCGGAAGGAAGGGGAGAATGAATGAGAGAGGAAGGAAGGAGAGAAGAAAGAAGGGAGGGAGGGAGGGAGGAAGGAAGGAAATCCAACCACAGTAAAGCAGTTAACAACCCTTTGGATTTTTGAAACATTGAAATTTTTGAAACTGGCTTGGAAAATAAAACAGATGATATCAGCGATAGAAAGGCCGTCAGACAGGCACCCCTGGAATTACGTTGTGGAGGGTGATTTACAACTGGTAACTAACTGCCTTACTCGTAGGCTCCACTTCCTGGGAAGTCAAGAGGGAGGCAAACATGTTGGTTTGTTCTCTCCCTGACGGTACTTTGGAACCAATTCCCATAACAATCAGCCTTCTCTCATTTTTAGGGAGTGTTGGGATGAGATGTTACTCAACCAGGGTGAAAGAAGAAAGCAGGAAACTATGGTTACATGAGCAGGTGGAGCTGTTGGAAGGTAAGCCAAGAAACCAGAATAAAAATAAACATCTGTGCAGATATTTATGCGTGGTTCGTATTCAGAACTGTATGTCTACGTATTTGAGGTATTGATTGCAGTGATTTGTACGCTTGCAGTGAGAATAACTCAACTTATGGCCACAATTGAGACCTCAACCTATGGCCACAATTGAGCCACAATTGAGTCCAACATGTCTGTTGCTAACAAGACAGTTGCTAAATGCATTTAGCCCCATTTTATGACCTTTCTTGCTATAGTCGTTAAGTAAATAATTGCAGTTATCAAGTGAGTAACAAGGTTGTTAAGTGAATCAGGCTTCCCCATTGACTTTGCTTGTTGGGAGGTTGCAAAAGGGGATCACATGACTTGGGGAAACTGCAGCTGTCATAAATAGGAAACAGTTGCCAAGCATTTGAATTTTGATCACGCGACCAACGGTCGAAAGTGAAAATGGTCAAAAGTTACTTTTCTGCAGTGCTGTTGTAACCTCAAGCGGTCACTAAATGTACCTAAAGCGGTCACTAAAAGTACCTCTGTACGTAGCCCTCGACCTAAAATCATTCTTTTCGCAACCATTTGAAGACACAACAGCACTGGAGAGAGTGACTTACAACCAGTCCTCACACTTAACGACTGTCACAGCATTGCCGTGGTCACAGAATCAACATTTGGGTGCTTGGCAACCAGCATGTATTTATGGCTGTTGCAGCCTCTTGGGGGGGGTCATGTGATGCTGGCTTAGGAATTCTGGGAGTTGAAGTCATAAAAGGGCCGTGGTTCCTGTCAGGGTTCCAGCAAACACAAAGGAATCAAAACTCCAAAACAGGCATCTTCCTCAAAGTATAGATCAGGGGTCTCCAAACTTGACAACTTTAAGACTTGTGGACTTCAACATCCAGCATTCTATGCTGGCTGAGGAATTCTGGGAGTTGAAGTCCACAAGTCTTAAAGTTGCCAAGTTTGGAGACTTCTGGCATAGATTTATTAGGCGTGTCTTATTGGCATATCTGGGAAAAATTCAACTGGAGGATGTGGAGTTTTCCCCACCCAAGTCCAACCCCAAAGTTCTTCCCCTCAGGTCATAAGTCCATCACATGGTCCAAACCAGGTTGCAGCCGCCATCTTAGCTGGCTTTGGTCCACGCCTCTCCAACACCTGGTTAGAAGGTCCTTGGCTCTCACGGGAAAGAATGTTGTTTCGGCTACACATCGCCATTTATCTCCATCTCCCCCCTTTAGTTCTCATGCCTCCAACCGGCCTGGCTGTGGCAGCCCTGAAGATGTTCCCCAAATGGCTCCAGTTTAAAAAAAAAATGGCTTCAGGGCTGACAGTTCCCCAGCACTGCCTGGATTCCGACACTTAACCCCATTTAAATCATGAGTCTCTAGCCAAACTCCAAAAGGATTTATTGGGAGTTAAAAAATGTGGCGTTGCCTGGGTGGAGCTGACTCTGAGACACGTAATTCACTGTCACCCTTGACCCTGGTTTCCCCCCTACCCCCTGGGTGTATCCTAATTCACATCCTCCAATGGGACACCTCCATAGCCAAGAGTCATCAATCATACTCCCCATAGAATTTTGCATGGCAGAAACCTCAGTCACCTAGTTACTATCTCTCAAAACATTTATGGAATGCAAGCTGGCCACTGCTTCTACCTCCCTTTCTGTTGGCAATGCTAAACGACCACCGAAATACTTTATGAGTTGACACCTGCTTTATATCATTGACACATTTATATCCCCTTTTCTGTGTCACCTACACAATTAGAGATCATATATTGTGTTCTGTTTCCTCCCATTCCCCACCACCCCAGTGTTGGAAGCTAGAGTGAAGCAACTCCGGGCTGATAATGAATCGGACATCCTAAAGCCCAAGATCCAAGTATGCCAGGTCAAGAAATTAAATTACTTTCCGGGTGCCCAAGTGCAGAAGACCTCGGCACCCCAAACGGCTCAGGGCAAACCCATCCCAACCCGGACCATCAAAGCAAATGCTTGGAAGGCCAAAATGAAGATGGAAAAACAAGCCAATAAAATGAAGCGTTGGGACTTCAGTAGCAGAATCTTAGAAGCGATTATCTCCTCTAACACTCTGGTGGAACAAGCGGTTAAGTGCTCCGTGAAATCTGTCAGCAAAACTACAGCGGATGGCTCCGAGGCACAGTCAGACTCCAAAATCGTCTTGACAGGGATCCAGGTCTGGGACAGAAATCAGCCTCCCGTTTCCTCGGCTGTCCAGACTGTGCCGATGCTTAACGGGAGGGTGCTTCCAGAAATGAAAGTCTTCCAGGACGATATTCGGATGACCATTTTAGCCTACATGGACACGTCCCTGTACAAGGGCCAGAAGAGGAAAGCCTTAAAGTGTTTGTTATATTTCCACACTACCCCGGGGCTGAAGAAGTTTCTAACTACACAGATGTTCAGTCTCCTCATGTGTCATTATGCCAAGCAGGTATTTTTATGTATTTTATTTATTTTGCTTCTTTGCAGACACATCCTGTCAGGCTTAACCCACCTTGGTCCGTTCGGAAAGAAACACCCATTTGTAACGTAAAGGTTAACTTTTACTAATAAATAGCCAAGGGGTTACAAAGGGAGCAAAGCCGGATCTAAGACTCCACGCGCAAATATTCCCTAGTTAAGTTTCCCTTCTCTGTTCCACTCCCCTGTTATCTCCCCATTGTCCAGTCACATTCGAATAAGTTGTTTTGGTAACACTCCCTGCAACGGTTTGGCAGGTGGTGCAATCCATTTTTCAGGCCTTTGGATGTCTTGGGACGGCACGAAGGATCACTGTTGGTTTCCCCCCCCTCCCAGATCTCCCTCCCCCCATGACTTATGGCAGATGGACATCTAGCGAAGCATAGGATGGCAGTTCTGACACACACACACACACATAGAAAAACCTTCCGGGGAGGTTGTGACATACAGGTGATCCTCAGCATACGACCCCACAGTTAAGATTATAATTTCTGGTGCTCAGCATGATGGTGGTTAAGGGTTAAGCTCCTGACTTTACGGCTTTTTTTGCCACAGTGGTTAAGCAAAGCACTGCAGCCATTAAGTGAATCATACTGTTGTTAAACGAATCCAGCTTCCCCTGTTGACCTAGCTTGTGGGAAGCCAGCTGAGAGAGTCTGTGGCCACGTAACTCTAGGACACAGCAGTGGTGGGATTCAAATTTTTTTACTACCGGTTCTGTGGGCTTGGCTTGGTGGGCATGGCAAGGGAAGGATACTGTAAAATCTCCAGTCAGAGGTGGGATTTGCCGGTTCTCCGAACTACTCAAAATTTCCGCTATTGGTTCTCCGGAACTGGTCAGAACCTGCTGAAGACCACTTCTGGGACACAGGTGTCAAACGCACAATGTCACATTGCCATCACGTGACGCTTGGCAACGTTTTTCCCATTCGTGGAGTTGGGGTGAGCATGGCCCTCATCAGAGTTGGGTATTCAGCAGGTTCTGACCGGTTCTGGAGAACCGGTAGTAGAAATTTTGAGTAGTTTGGAGAATTGGCAAATGCCACCTCTGACTGGAGATTTTACAGTCTCTTTCCCCTGCCACGCCCACCAAGCCACGCCCACAGAACCGGTGGTTAAGAATTTGAATCCCACCTCTGGCCCGCATCCAATGCATCCAGCCCGCGGGCCTTCCAGTTTGACACCCTTGCTCTAGGATGTCATCGTGGTTATAAGTGTGAAAAACGGTCATAAGTTACTTTGTTCAGTGCTGTTGTAAGCTCAAACAGTCACAAAATGAACTGTCGTATGTTGAGGACTACCTGTACATGTGTTTATATGCAGAACATCTAAATTACGTGAGTACACACACACACACACAGAGGTTGTCCTTGCTTTGCGATCACAATTGGGACCGGAATGTTTGTTGCTAAGTGACATGGTCCTAAATTGAAACTCAAGTGACCACACCGTTTTGTCCCATCAGTTCCAGTTGCTGTGGTCAACCAAGAATTGTGGGACATTAAGCCAGTGCCCAGCTCAACCTAAGCCATTCCAGGCTTGGTCCTTCCCAGCCCTAAATCTCAACCTCCAACTCATCCATCTCAGTCCTTTGGCCACCTTGCAAAAGCTCTGGGTCTGCTGGCCACACCCTGAGAAGCTGCAGCTGCCCAGCCCACTCACGGTCACTCTTGGCCCTCTGCACTCCGAGATTCCCTACCACCCGCCTGACCTTCATCCTTTCATTCGTTCATTCATTCATTCATTCCCAAAGGTGCTTTCTTCAGGAGGCAACTGGACTTTTTTTGTTTTCTTTTGAAGACATTTCGCTTATCATCCAAGAAGCTTCTTCAGCTCTGACTGGATGGTGGGGAAATGGAAGGATTTATACCCCTTGTAGACAGCTGGTCAGTTGCATCCTTTTAGAGCAGGGGTGTCAAACTGGATTTCATTGAAGGACACATCAGAGCTGGGTTTGACCTTGGGGTGTGTGTGTGTGGCCAGCTTAACATCATTTGTGTTGGCAGCTCTGGCGGCCTGAGTGCCAGCGAAAATGGGCTCCCGAGCTCCATTTTTGGCTGCAACGGCCTCTTGCAACCTTCCGCCAGTGAAAACAAAGCTTAGGAGGGCCAGGGGCCGTTTTCGCTGGCAGAGGCTCCACGGGTCGCTCCTTCACTGTTTCCAGGGCAGAATAGAATAGAATAGAATAGAATAGGAATAGGAATAGGAATAGGAATAGAATAGAATTCTTTATTGGCCAAGTGCGATTGGGAACACAAGGAATTTGTCTTGGTGCAAATGCTCTCAGTGTACATAAAAGAAAAGGTACATTCATCAACAGTCAAGTATCACGAGGTACAACACTTAATGATAGTCATAGGGTACAGTAAGCAGTCAAATCATGCTAGGAAACAGTCAATATAAATCGTAGGGATGCAGGTGACAAAGTTACAGTCATACAGTCACAAGTGGGAGCGGATGGGTGATAGAAACAATGAGAAGATTAATAGTAATAGTAGTGCAGACTTTGTAAATAGTTGGACAATGTTGAAGGAATTATTTGTGTAGCAGAGTGATAGCGTTGGAGAAAAAACTGCCTTGTGTCCAGTTGCTCTGATGTGCAGTGCTCTATAGTGTCGTTTTGAGGGCAGGAGTTGAAACAGTTTATGTCCAGGATGTGAGGGGTCTGTAAATATTTTCATAGTCCTCTTTTTGACTCGTACCTTATACATGTCTCCATGGAAGGCAGGTTGGTAGTAATTTTTTTTTCTGCAGTCCTAATTCCTCTCTGAAGTCTGTGTCTGTCCTGTTGGGTTGCAGAACCAAACCAGAGAGCGATAGAGGTGCAGATGACAGACTCAATAATTCCTCTGTAGAACTGGATCAGCAGCTCCTTGGGCAGTTTGAGCTTCCTGAGTTGGCGCAGGAAGAACATTCTTTGTTGTGTTTTTTTGATGACGTTTTTGATGTTAGGAGTCCATTTTAGATCTGGTGATATGATAGAACCTAGAAATTTGAAGGTCTCTGCTGTTGATAAGATCTAAGCACCCCGTGCACTGTATCCGGCCTGCGGGCCTTGAGTTTGACACCCCTGTTCTAGAGAGCTTGAGGCCCACCTGGAGGTTTATCTGTGTCCTCAGGGTCACCTGAGTGGTGCAAATGGGGGTGGAGCCTCCTTGGAGCTGTTGAAAGGACCGTGTTATATACTGAAGATAGATGATGTTGCATCCCTCCCCGTCTGTCGAGAGAGCGCTGTTCAGTTTTGACCTAGATGGCCTCTTTAACCCCTCTTTCAATCCAGCAGTCCTCTCTGTCCAAAATGTGGACTTTGCTGTCTTCAAAAGAGTGGCCTTTGTCTTTTACACCCAGTCAGAACTGAAGAAGCTTCTTGAATGAGAAGCGAAATGTCTTCAAAGAAAAAAAACAACAACAGAAAGTCCAGTTGCCTCTTGAAAAAAATAAAATAAAAGCACCTTTGGGACAACCATGACCTGGATGACTGACAATCTCCACAGACATAGGCACACATACAGACACACACACACGTACGCACAATTTATACGTGCCTAGGTTTGTGTATACAGCTCCAATTGGTTGTTGGCCTCTTTTAGGCTGCCCTCCTTAGCAGTCTTTAAGGCAAATTGCCTTTTTGGTCTTCTTGTGAAAACCCTAAGAAGGGAAAACAAATGCAGAGCTGTACGGGCACAGCTGCCAGAAAGGCTCCACTTTGGCGGCCATTCTTGCACTCCTCATCATTTCCATGGAAGACTAATGGCGGCTTAGCCATAATCTAGATCAAGGGTCTTCAAACTTGACGGCTTTAAGACTTGTGGACTTCAACTCCCAGAATTCCTGAGCTAACATGACTAAAGGAGGAATTCTGGGAGTTGAAGTCCACAAGTCTTAAAGCTGTCAAGTTTGAAGATCCCTGGTGTAGCATGGGGTCCTCAACGTCAGCCATTTTAAGACTTGTGGACTTCAACTCCCAGAATTTCTGAGCTAACATGACTAAAGGAGGAATTCTGGGAGTTGAAGTCCACAAGTCTTAAAGTTCTCAAGTTTGAAGACCCTTGATCTAGAGCAGGGAGCTTGGTGACTTTAAGATTTATCGACTTAAGCTCCCAGAATTCCCCAGCCAGCCATGCCATGAATTA